ATAAAGGTGAAAATTATTGAGAGAGATTATTTGTATGGAGCGAGTCTTCAAAACACCCGTCGTCTTCACGAATTAACTTAAACAGTTATGGTCAAGATACAAGTCAAGTCAGTCAAGTTAAGTCAAGTAAAGCTTAAAACACCCGTTAGAATGAATTTTCAGCATTCTCGACAGATATACATATCCAGTAATCTTCTACCATCCCACCTTTTGCTTTCACTTCTCAATCCACAATGAGGAGTCAGCAGAGGGCATAAAATGAGGCATATGACTTCAAATGGTTGGCTGGAGTTCAGAATATATCATTGAATGTCTGCAGACACTGAAAGACATGGCAGTAAAATAATGTCATCATTGTCATCATCGTCGTATTTCACTGGTATTTCACTATTGTTGTCCACCAGGCGCCTTGTGGACTAACGTTGTAGACCACCTAACCTTGTTTTTATCTTGACAGGTCTAGGTTTGTTGTTTCTTCTTCATCAGGGCTACTGACTCATGAGATATCCAGTGCCTCTGACGGGCTTGAGGCTCAGACCCCCAAGCGAAATTCGCTGCGGAATGCATTGCTCGGGGATGGTGTTGGCACATCGGTTTAGTCACTGTCACCGGTGTGCTTAGGACCCTATGGTCTGAGGTTCGAGCCTCACCATCGCCACCGATCTTGGGTGATAGACAGCTTTAATGTCTTCCAGTTCAATACTGTGCCTAACTAAGCTGGGCCTTATGTGTTTCGCTATCTCAACTCCCCGGGCTTAGGTCGCCGGTTACCATGAATGAACAGCAGGTCTTCGTGACCATGAGGTCTGTTGTTCATCGACCACTGGTGTCTTATTAAAAATATCTGGAGAGCCAGGAGACTGGACTCTGTCTAACTTATACCCTTTGACTTTCCAGGCATGATTAGATCTTTGGCTTGGCAAAAGCCATCCCGTATAGCTCGTTGTCAGAGAGGTACACAAGCCATCACACCACATCAGCGTGCAGTTCCGTCAAGATGGGGTTGCGGTCTCGTCGTGATAGAAATAAGGCTTCTGTTTTTGCAATTCTTAAGAGATCTCATCGTGCGTACAATCAACCACATTTTTTTTCTTTCTCTGAGGTAGATATTCTCTTTATGCACGTAAATTTACGATATACCCTTCATGATCTTGGCTGCGATCAATCATTTTTGCTCTGCTGCTCTGCAAATAGTGTAGCTATGCTCGGTATGCATTTTGCAATTTCAGAGTCCGTAATGCACCTTCAGATTCCAACATCAGCATGACTGGGAAAGCAGTAGAGAAAGTGTGCTAACTTTGCTATTTTAAAGGTTACGTCTCATGGGGTGGACGAGTCGCGAAAAAAGTGTTGACTCGTATACTGTTGGTTCGGTTGGCGTTTGAGATACCTATGGTGCTGCCGCGACATTCGGCTGTCTGTGAAGACCCAACGGTGTTCAATAACTGTCCGACCAGTGGTTTTTACTAGAGATGAATAATCACAGCCTCTTGTTCAAATACCGTCGTCACAAGTAACGACTCTCGTGCATCCACCCACTTTCTACTAGCGTCTAGTTTAATCGCTTTTTATATTTTGAAGTTGATAGTGCGGTGAGGTTTGAGCTCTTTTATTTACTTCTCATTGCCCGAGCTATTAGGATATCGAGACAGTAACGAAAACCCTCTGAAAAAAATACAAGAATAATATTTTTGAATACGAAAACTAAGAACCATTTACACAGCTAAAGCTTCATTATGGCTTTATCAGTTGTAAGGAATCTCTTAAATAACGCTTTGATGTGAAATATCGGGTGGTGGTGGTAGTCAAACACTGTCACTGGCGTGCTTTGGGATCTAGGGCCAGAGGGTCAAGCCGCATCACCACCACCACCCAACTTTAGTCTTAGGTATCCTAGTTGTCATTCTACTCAGTATCACTCCTAACCTAGTGAAGCTTTATGTAGTTGGGCTGTTGACATCCCTGGGTTTAGGTTGCCAGTTTCCATCTCTGAACAGCAGGTTCTCGTGACTACATGGTTTACTCCATCTAGTGTTCATCACCCAAAGGTGTACTATGGTTGAATACTGATTTATATATAAATAGCGCAATATTTATTGTAATGTATTTGACATGACTACGAATCACTGAAAACCAGTTTGTTCGCCACTCTTTGTTCTATTTGAAAAAGGATAGTCTGTATCCCATTTACCATATCCACTTTTGGCTACGTAGGTCAATAGATTCGATAGATTCGGCA